AAGAGAACTGGCAAGGAAAACAATCAAAGAGTAATAAGAACCCATCCGTCTACCTTTTTAAAGATATAACTTAATATTTGGAATAAGAACTACAAATAATTTCCATAAACCATTTAACATATGAAGATTAGTATTTGAACAGAAATATAAAATGCATAACTAGGAGAGCATTGTTTACGAACATTATTCTCAAATTTCGAACTTCGACGAAAATGTTTGGAGAAATGAATGTGGAATGATGGCAATACAACCTTGCTTAGAACACCAAAAGGACTTCTGGTCGTTTATTAAAACCATCGAAATACCATATTCTTGGTTTAAATATGTACCTATGTATGTATTTCACCAGCACCGGCCCTTGACTTCTTGGTTCTTTTAAACCAAACCAAATTAAATCACATGTCAGATAAAATTAGTATTGAGTACTATTTTATCCGTCTCTCTCCATCACAAGTAAACATTTTTCAACCAATCCTTCCCATTACAACTTTAAATAATAAATATATATATTGTAGAATACTTCCAATTATCAAATTGATTACCACTTTTATTCTAATTAATTAAAAGAGTTTCTTCTATCGATTGCTCTTAAGAAATCTTTAAATATTTATTCTGACATTTTTAATGAAGCTTGTCTGTGCTTCAAACATAACATTTATTTTTTAAAGCTCATTTGAATGAAGAGAGAGCACGGAGAGACGAATTAATCTCAACTTCAATGCACGACCTACAATAAATACTTGAGCTGTTATCCAGATTTTTATTTTATTTTCCGGAAGTACTATGTATAATAAATATTTCAAGAAATTAATTGAAGCATCCATCACATATATAACTACTTTTATGTATCATTTAATTACCGTTTACGGCACACAAGAACACTGGCACACTCGGCGTATGCGCAATGTCCGACAGAAAAGCACCAACTGACAACACTTTATGAAACATGAGCGGGCCACAAGGCGTACATACGACTATATGTACATATATATGTACATGTATGTGTACAAGGATGTGGCAACTGTGGCGGTAATTGCCAATGTGCAATGCCCAGTGGCCATTTGAGCGTCGCTCTTTTTTATATTTATGTGCGCCATGGCATAAAACTACATTACAAAGGCCATAATTTTAATGTGGCAAAAAAAAACAACAACAACAACAACAAAAACAGCAACAACAGCTACAACAATAACAGAAGTGCGCACAAAAACTAAACAACGCACATAAAACCACGACAATGCCACAAAGCAACAACAAAATGGGCCTACGATTACAACAACAAGAGCCACAACAGAATGTGCTGGCACGGTCGTAAACAGTCCAAGTGTAAAAGTGTGTTAGAGCTAGGGCTGGAACAGTGAAATGATCGTGAGTGTGCGATACGTGTCACGTGCTGTCTTTATGTCCTTTCTATATCCTGCTTGAGGAGGCTTAAAAGGCAAATAGAGCCTATGCTATAAATAGATCAATGAGACTATCTGTCTGTCTGTCGAGATCTCTAACAGCCAGTAATATTATAGAAACGATCAGTCTTGTTCCAAATATGTTTATATTTATTTCGGAATTTTATCACAATCGGTTCAATACTTGTATATAGCGCCTTTAACGTTTTATTCGTCTTACACTGTCTTTTAAAGTTGGGATTTTTGAATAGCATTACTTTAAATATATACATGTATATTACAAATATATATTTTATTCCTGTAAAATAAGATCAACATATAAATAGAAACGATAAAGACACATAATTCAATTTTCTTAAATATTTATAGATGCAGCAAAAGAGAAAAAGATAAATTTATAAAAAAGTACTTTTATCTAAAAAGTGGACGTGTTGCATAAAAACCCTGTTTTGAGGGAAATAAAATCAAACTCAGAGTGGAAATTTAAACGTTTAATAGTTTCCTTGTTTGTTCTCGCTTTCATTTAATTGATAAAAAAAATCGTGTAAGAATAAAACAAAACTAATTTGGCAGCATTAAAAAGAATGATAATAATAAATTAAATTAGAAACCTTTTTATCAAACACATTTAATTAAGGCTTAAGAAAAAGGGTTGATGCTATTTTTGTTCCAATTATTTAAAAGCAAACCATAGAAATAAGCACTACAACATACAAGTATATCTTGTTTATAAACTTGAATAAAACTTGTGGACAATTATGAAAAATTCGAAACGTTTAAAAATTGTTATCAAGCCGAAGGGAATACGACTTTGAAAACTAAATTAAAAACTGAAATTATTCTCTAGTTAAAGAATGGATGCATTTAACAGAACTGTAGAGGTATTAATGAGGCTTTCTTATTTTGTTTTCAGTTTAAATTGTAACTGAAAATAAGTAAACTGTATTGACAGCATTATTTGTTGATATATTAAATAAAAAAATAAATGAATAAAAAATCATCTCAGCATCTCGTAAGATCTATGCCGCATTGAAATTTAACAAAACTTTTTAAAACTAATTAGAATTTTTGTTTACTGTAATCATTAACTTTCAATCATTAAACAATAATCACTAATCGAAACTACAAAAGATACTCTTCAATTAGGGACAATTCAACAAGCAAACGATTTTATAGCTTCTTTCCCATTAATGAAAATAATGAATTCGAATTAAGTTCGATTTCACGAGCACATCTTTAATTTAAAGATGAGGCAGCAGCGGACTTGCAATTTCTTTGGACATGAGCGTAAAGCACTGTACTCGCTCGCTTGTCAATGTTTAGTTAGTTAGTAGCCGTAATTTATGTGCCATTAGCCCGGCAGCGGAATACAACGCACTTAGACGTGTCGGTGTGCATTAATAACGCACCAATTTATGCTTTAGCTTCCCGAGCACATAAATTCAACGCAAAATATGCAACTGGTGCGGTCTCAATATTTCAACAACAACAACAACAACAACAGCATCGTTGATTGCTGATAATCATTTTCACTTCGGCAACATTTTTTTCACGCACACACACACACACACACACACAAATGTACTTGCCGCGTTTTATCAGCGTTTGTTTTACTTCCGACAACGGAAGCAGCAGCGGAAATTTCTCATTTCTGTACATTTCCGCATACACACACACACACACACACGCACATTCGCGCGCACAGCAAACAGACAGGCGGGCCCACACATCTACATACGTAACATGCCATATACATAGTAGTTGGGGTCGTGTGTACATGTGTGTGTTTAAAAAGCAAGCTTTAAATAAAACTTTGCCAGCGAAATGAAAAGCAAACAAAGAAAGTGTGTGTGTGTGTGTGTGTGTATGGGAGAGGGTGGACCGAAATCACAGACCAACAAAAAATATTAAGTACAGACAAGTATGCATTCGTATCGGGTAATAGTATGGAAAGCACATTACGAAGCACAAACATTTACAGGACCTTAAAGCATCATTAAATTTATTTCAGTAGAAAGCTTATTATTTCAAAAATGTTAAAAAGAATTTCATTAACGAAACATTTAAAAACTGAAAACTCAATGAGCTTATTGTTGGCGGAGTCGCGCCAATGTAATCAGATATAAAGACATAAGTGAGTATACTAAAGTGAATAATGTTTTATTACTGCGCGATGCGCGTTTGCTTAGGTCGAAGTTAACACGATGAAGGTGTAAGGCGAACTGGACTTAAGAATAAGGCAACTAGTAGACAAAGAGAGTAAGTTGCCAGATCGCTACTTTGATATAAGCATATGGTATGAATGGCCATATTTCAACACTTATTAAAGAAAGGAACGCAACAAGCACTTCCAATAAGACAGACGATATAGGGATATAATATGCTTATTCTTTATTCTACGATTTCATTAATGTCTGCTGCCCTTCATAGTATATAGTATACCCTTTTAAATTTACAGCTTTTCACATATGATACAAGTATATAAAACTTTGGAGGCCAATCCGTTATAATAAAAAGTTTTTATGTGGCTTATTGTATGTAATCTGTATAAAAGGATCTACCGCATAAGTTGCTGGTAAACAACTGGAAATGTGTTGAGGCTATAGACCATCTTAAAGCTCCGACTATTCTTATAATTCTGGCCTTTTTTATTTCGAAAAAAGCTCTTTTAAAAAAGCGAAAAAGACTTAAAAATAAAGAAAACAGTTTTGGAACAGTTTTTAGTTTGGTCAGAATATAATGATTAGTTTTGTGTTATTTATTTATATATTCAGTTATTTTAGCAACAAACAAAGCTGCCAATGTACGAAAATATTCAATGCATTAGAGTATTGAAAGTAAATAATAAAAAAAGCCAATAGAAATTATAATAACTTATAATGAATCCAAAGGACCAGCCCCAATTCACTCCGAAGAGTATTTATTTATTTTATTTATTTATGTCAACAAACATTGACTGCCGACATAGGAGGAACATATTAAAAAATTATAAAAAGCATCATTTAAGTTAGAAAAGCCTAATAAGGAGAAATCGAATCAATTTACAATAATATCTAATAATAATATAATATCTAATAATATAATATCTAATAATATAATATCTAATAATATAATATATAATATTATTTGCCCTTCGGCTAGCTCAGTAGTCAGAGAGATTACAAAAAAGAAATAAACAAATATGCTTAGCAAAAAAAAATCAAAAACAAGTAAAATCAAATTAAAATGATAACATAAAATGAAAATACTTAAATAATAAAATATAGATTATAAAAGATATTGCTAAAAGGTGGAGGATCATTTATAATTTATAGTACAAATCAATTGAAAAAATAAAACTCATAAAATAATGAATATTCTTTGAGTTTTATTTTATTTTATTTTTTGGTTAAAAATAAAACTCAACTTGTTATTTCGTCGTTTTCGTATGGAAAAGGGGGAATTGTTTGTATATTCTTAACCAAGAGGAACATCTAATTAATCATTATATTCCAAGTGAATCATTTTAAAATTAAAAACCTCTCTTTTTAATATATAATTTTCAACTTGGCTGCACATTTCTACTTTAATGGAAAATCCATTAGAATATTGCAGTTATTCTGTGTATTAGCTAAAGGGTTATAAGTATTTATTCACTTTGTGTAATGCCCGAAAAACAAATTTAATCTCAACAAACTCTCATCCTGCTTGCACTCCTTGGGGAAAGTGTTCGTGTCCTTAGTTGGCATACTTGAAGTACTCCTCCTTGCCGGCGCTATCAGGTTTGATGGCCTTGTGGCCGGGCTTCCAGTTAACTGGACACACCTCACCAAATTCATCGGTGAATTGGAAAGCCTGCACCAAACGTAACGCCTCATCGACATTGCGGCCCACATGAAGATCATTGATCGTTATCTGCCGCACCAATCCCTCGCGATCAATAATGAAGAGAGCACGATGCGCCATCCCAGTGGCCTCGTCCAGCACGCCATAGGCCTGTGATATCTTCATGGATTTGTCAGTCATCAGGGCAATATCCATTTCGCCCAATCCGCCCGTATTGCGCGGCATCTGCGCCCAAGCCGTGTGCACATAAATGCTGTCCGTGGAACAGGCAATGATCTCGCAGTTCACGGTCCGGAACTCCTGAGCTCGATCGCTGAATGCATGCAACTCGGTGGGACACAAATTGGAGAAAGCGGCCGGATAGAAGAGCATGATCACATATTTTCCGCGAAAATCGGTCAACGCTATCGGCTTCATGCAACCATTAACCAAAGCAATCGAATTAAAATCGGGAGCAGCCTCACGCATACGTATCAGGCTCATAGTGCCACGATTTTCTAGATATTTTAAAGCAATTCTGTGTAAACTGATAAAAAGAATATTTATGTCGTGTGTAGGTGACAGGATAGTCAGAAAAGCATATGCTTAGAAAGTTTTTAAAATATAAAAAAACTACGCAAGCAATCTTATTTACAAGGAAACGGAGGAACAGTTTCCTTCAAAGCAGCTGAATTAAATGGGTATATCGGTCTTATGTTAGATACGAAATTGAACTTTAAAGACCTTGTTCAATCGGTCTTATGTTAGATACGAAATTTAGCTTTAAAGCTCATGTTTAATGCATCAGTAAAAATCCAATATATTAGTCTGTGTCTCGGTCTTGTCATGTAAATCAAAAAGTACCTTTTCAAATCAATTTCCCAAGCTGTTATCTGCTATGGGTCTCCAGTTCGGGCTTATTGTGGAAAATTGTCGTACTCAAAACACTCAATTTATCCAAAAAAAAGTGATCTATGTATCTATATTCTACTTTTCACTTGTCCACTACACCAAAAGCTACTCCAAGAAAAGTTAAATTAGTGGCAGAAAGAATTGCTCGCCTAAACAAATTATTCAATAATAAATAAAACGAGTATTTACTATAATTTATTTCATATAAATTAATACAAATACTATAAATTTATAAATATTTTATGACTAGTACATTAATTTATAAGAAATCTTCTTGTCGTACTAGGAATTAATAAACAAACAAATAAATAAATAAATAAATGTAAAAAAAATAAATAAATAAATTGTTAAAAAAGTTAATTTAGTACAAGTTAGGTTTAAGCCCTTAAGCTTAATGGGTATTCTGCATAATTTTTTCCGCTGTATATTTTCACAATTGTTGTTTTATATTTTTTATATTTTTCCGTTTTCTGCAATTAAGTAGAAAAGCTAAGTACTAAGCTTTTACTCTTAACATAAAGATTTCTTAATAACCAATATTATAAGTAAATTAAATTAAATTTAAATTGATAAAGTTATTGAACACCTTATATTTTATATATTATGTTAATACTTAAGTTCCAGCTTCCGTGTACTATTTGTTGGTTTTTTTTGGACGATTAATTATCAAAATAGGCTTGTTTTTGTATTTTGTGCAACTAAATCAATTCCTTGCAGAACAGTAAATAATATTCCCCCACCGGGTCGGAGGCGTTAATTAGATATTATTGTAATTTGATTAAATATCTCCTTCTTAGGCTTTTCTAGCTTATAAGATGCTTTTTATAATTTTTTTTTGTATTTTTCTCCTATATCAACAGTCAATGTTTGTTGACATAAATAAATAAATAAATAAATAAATAAAAAAGACGGCCTAAGAGAAAATCTGAATATTATTTGATTATATTCTGAAAGCTATTTAGTGTGCTGCTTAAACATTTTGAAGTACACTTTCATTTAAAATCCCCAGAAAAAAAGCAAACAAGCTTAAAACTGATGCTTGTACAAGTGTTTGGAATACAAAATCCCACACTCTTCACCTTAATATTAATTAATAAAATATGAATAATGAAATGCTTTACACACACACACACACGCACAGAGAGAGAGAAAAAGGTCGCGATTTGTGCTAATTTGGAACGCATACCATTCGCTCACCTGGCCGTGTTCTATACAACTCTTTTCATTCTGTCCGCTCGTTTGTTACCGAGAATTTCCACTCGAGTGAATTTTCAAGAACATTTTCAATTTGCATATTTTGTCACAAAAGAAAACTGAACTGTAAGTAGCGGCGCATGGAGGAGAAGGCATGGAAACGACCGCCTGGCGCTAATTACCAAAATTTATTGAAATTAAAAGTGTCGACTTTCAGGGGGCCCGTCCGTCAATCGGATTTGCCGCCATTTTTTCTTCTTCTTCTTCTTGTACATTTTGGGCATTGCTTTCCCGTTGACACTTGACTGAACGACCTGTTTGCCCAACATGCTAATTTCAATAGAAAACTTACCGAAAGATTTTCTTAGGAAACACAAAAATGTATTTCTCTTCATTTTTTTCTCGTCCGCCGTGTGGCATTTGAAATAATCAAGGCAAGAAAATAATCAAAAGCACTGGCACACAAAAAGTTTTCGATTTCAACGCTTACAAATTGGCATTAATTAATTTTCAATGCCTTCTTACTTTGTGGCACTCAAAACGGAAACGGCTTACGTTTTTCAGATTCTTTTATTGAACTGAAATTTTTGATAGAATTTGCGTCAGTGCTACAATTTTTTGATTCCTTAGCATTAACTGCTTCTTGCAGTTAGAAATACTATTAATGGTATTTCGGAGAGTAGTTTTCCTTCTCGTACTAAAATATATCTCCTTTAAAAATTTCCCATCATGTTTGCAAATTTTTTTCTTTGCCAAATAATATTAGATTTTAATTTAGCAATTGGGAAAGAAGATCGTGAAAAGAGAGCAAAATGAATGAACCAATTCGTCAGTTACTGTCACAATATATTAAATTCATTTAAGTTACCTATTAAATTAATTATTATTGTTATTTTTTTCATTTTTATTGGCTTTTTTATTGCTTTAGTTTTATTTAGTTTAAGTTCTCTATTGTATTGCATTTTTTGTTCTTTTACATCAACAGAATTTTTTGTCGATTAAACAAATAAATAATATAGAAATAAATAAATAAATAAATAAAAAATCAAATAAATAAAGAAATAAATAAATAAATAAATAAAAATATAAATAAATAAATAAAGAAATATTTAACATTCAATGCATTTTCTTTATAATCGAATAAGCAGAACCGATTTACAGTCAGCCATTAGATCATTCTGCTTATTTATGAAACGTAAAAAATATATTATACATTATTATATGAGATAAAACCTATCCTCTGTCCTAAAATAGAACAAATGTGACAAAATGGAAAATTATTAAAATCCGTAGACTAGTTTCGAAGTGCAACAAACATTGTTACAGGAGATTTGTATTTATAAATAAGTAGATAGATATAATAAACTATTAAAAATATTTATGCTACGTCTCCCCAGTTTCACGGCAAAATACAGGAGTCCACATAAATTCTATTATACATTTGTAAATATTGCGGAAGGAGAGAAACAGTGGCCACCGGCCTGTAACAATATGTACATCTTCATATTTCAGATGAAGAGATATTATGTATTTTTTGAACATTTTTTTTGCTAATGCAGTAAGCATTCTGCCACTGTCTGTAGAAGCTGCAGAGATGAAGAAGAGAAGGAAGGTGTGAGGCACCACCTCAAATAATGTCCAGAATTCTGCAGATTCAGGTTTGGCAGCTTCTGCTAAACGATCTCATTGATGGAACAAATCTGGAGATTGAAAAATTAGCTAAGTTCATCAGCAACGAGTGGTTGAGAGCCAACCTTTACATTTAATATCCCCTATATTAAATGACATCACAATGTTGTAGGGATATCTACAACGCTTCAGCCATGTCTATCCAACCTAACCTAACCTAACTTTTTTTTGGAATTTCGTCAATCAAAATCGATAAAATCACGCTGCAAAAAAATGCATTTCATTGCTTGGAGTGTAACGGAAATTTCCGAATTTAAGCGCAATTTAAATTTATATTTGCTAGAGAAAACTCTTTCTCTGCTTGTTTTTCTACAATTTAATACACTTATACATATGCATGCATGTGCTTGCTTTTAATTTAGAAAAGAAAGAAATTGTTGCGTTTTCTGGGCGGTAAAAATAATCTTTTATTTCATTTCGTCCTGCCGTGGCAACGCGACTCATATAAATAATTCCATTTCATTATTTTAAGACCCTTTCCCTTTATACAGTTGTATTTACGTTCGTACTTATATAAAATTTAGCGCGTGCCGACTTTTTTGTATCTTTATACTTATAATAAACGCCAAAACGAGAGACCGCAATGGCCTTGTGCCTAATATGAATTATGTGCGGGCGGTTGGTCTGCCGTTGAGGGACGAAGAGAGAGAGAGTATGGCGATGTACCCTTTTTTTGCTCATCTGCTTGAGTTCGTAACGGCTTAAATAAAAAGTAATACGGTTATTATGTTGCCACAAAAAATACAAAATATATAGGTATGTGCACAGTCAAAGAAATGTGAAATGCAATAAATCTTCAAAGAACGAGGGACGATCAATAAGTAATTATTTTTTCCCACAATATAATATATGCTGTATATTTTATTATTTTAAATATTGATTACAGGTCCGTACAAGACAGTTACGGCCTCGACTACTTGCCGCATTTTCGTTCGATAATCAGCGAGAATTATGTGCTGATCGATGATTTTCCCGGTAACCGGTTCGACAAAAACAGTTTAATTTGTCTAGGACAAACATAATTACTCTTTAATTTATCATTCTTTCAAATGAACAAGTAACGCTAAATATTACAATAAATATTTAAAATTAGGGTGGATATTTCTATTGATTATCGATACATAGCATACGTAACACAGTTTTAAAATACGCCAATATCTAACGGTAGACAGAGATCAACATTACTTTTATTTCTTCTCATGTTTTTTTCCATCCCAATATGAACAACAAACGAATTATGGATCGCTATTGCGCTCTTTCCATTTTATCGATAAATGGAAAAATGTTATCGATGAAGCAATTTATAATTAGTATCATAGCTTTTAATTGACATTGAATAAGAAGATAACAGATTCTCATGGATCCACCCTCGTACAAAAAACCAAGTATATAGCTGCAAAAATAACTATTTTGAGTTCAAAAAACTGCAAATTTAAATTAAAACAGAGCTTAAAGTAAAACTCACATGCGAGTAACGATTTATAGAAGCATTAAAAATGTTGAAAATAAACACTCGTAAATTTTAAATGAGAATAGTAAAGTTAACAATTTTAACTTCGTTTGCCTTTCGCATTCACAAACATATTATATTAGAAGACGAATGTTTGCAGCCACTATTGTTTTATTAACCCTTAAATGTTCTGCATTTTTGCCTTTTATGATATCACGATTTATTTATTTCTGTTACACAGCCTGGTGGTAGGCCAAATGTTTGTGCACCTTGGCATAAATAC